CTGTTTTAGAAGCTTCTAGCAGCACCGCGCGTGGGTTGCACGTTTTGAAAGTAGTTGCAATCGATTTCTCGTGGTTTGTTTGTATATATAGAGCTCCGCTCACTATTTACTTAGTCTGTCGATTTTCGTCTCTTGGTCGGAAATACATTACTCAGTAACCTGCAGTCGATAAGTCAGCTGTACGATAAGTCTAATCGGGAGAATAAGGATTACCACAGGGGAACAGTCGGCATCCGAGCCCTCCCGGCAAGGGTAGCAGCATCGGTCAATGCTGCAACAAGGAGTCTCGCCACATCCGTTGGGGCACTCATCACGAGTAGCGAGGTTGAGGAAAGTGGGGCCGGCAGCTCCAAGGGCAGCGAAGATGGCAAGAAGAGCGATGGAGAACTTCATTTTGAAATGGAGGTTGATTGACCCGTTAGGTAGTGTAAGAAGAGTAGGACTGTTGTTGTGGATGTGGTTGTGACTGGTTGATCAACAATCTGGAGACTCTTCAAGTCATACTTATACGACCTAGGAGGATTAATTGTTTATTCGAGTGCATGGGTTTTGTTGGTGAAATTCTCTCAGAGGGCAACTTCTACCTCAAAGACCCTACAATACAAGCGGAGTCTCTTTAGTAGTACGTAATGCTGTCTTTTGCCTAGCTGTGTGTACTGTTATTTCGAAAGAAGATTAAGGGCGCGTTGATCACCGCCTCTGTTTCCTAGCTGCTAAACGTAAGCGGGTAATTACTTGAACTCCGTCTGAGAAACGAAAGCGGAAACGGCGTCATGGTCGAACAATAAAGGTTTCCAGTGCCAAACGGCAGTATTTTTGGTTAGCTCTGTTATACTAACATAGGACTTGTATAGTACTGATACTATATTTTCTCCATGTTGCTGCTAGTTCTGGAGACGAAGCTTGCTACTTCTTCCTATGTGACCACAAAACGGGGCTCCAACTGATTACCCCCTCTGTTTCGGATCTTAATCTAGATAGGCCCAGCTGCAACGCTAGCCTGTCCTTCCTTACCAACGCTCCAAACCTAAAACAAGAAACAATACGGAAACGGAGAACGGAGAAGTGAACAGGCCCAAAATTCCCGGGTAAACCTGTGAAGTTTCAATCTTCCAACTAGATAAAACTCTAAATCTGAAGATACAAGTGTATATGCTTTTCCCAGTAGTGAGGAATCGTTTCTTTACGAATCCTTGAAAATAAACCAAATACTATGTAATTCATAGAACTGTAGCTTACTTACGTCCTAGCTATCGTCATGGCTGTGTATTTTATTCAATAGGATATAAATGCTCACATAGATTTCTCGTATCGGGATCTTACAAATCTATCGCAATTGATGAAGATTTTGATCTATGTTGTGACCAGTTGACCCTGATACCATTTTCGGGGTGATGATTTGCTCGCTTTAACAGTTTAATATGCCTACAGCGCGATAATTATTCGAGAAGACAACTCTAGTACAGGACCCGGCTGGAAGGAGATGAATGTTTCCTCATTGCAAATCCTAGTCGGGTACATCCAGAACATAGTCTGCTTGGCATAAAGGAACCTACACGCTTCTCCCTGCGTGGGCTGGCTATTCTCGGCTATTCTTCATATGACACCCATTGCATATCTCTTTGGAATTCCCAATCCCAGTTACGTCCACAAAAAAACCATAATCGTAAGCACTCTTTTACTCGTCTGTTCTCGTTGATTGTATGGCCCCTCCTTTCTTCTCATTGATACCAACACACTGCACCAGATGGACCAAACTGCCTCGCTCCTGAGAGACGATGACCTTGCCCATGCCTCTCCTTCTCATTCTCTGGACCTCAGCGACAATGACGACAACGACCCTTACCCACGTGCCTACGACCAAGAAAAGCCCAACTCCACAGCCGCACACCGCATTATACAACAACGACAATACCGCGCCATAGCCATTAGCCTTCTCATATTACTTACCTGCTTCACAATTGGCAGTATTATCAGCACGCTGTCCATGAATGTGTCCGGCCCCGCAGAGTCACCGACATCAACCAGCATGGGTGAATGCGGGCGCACACCGGAGCAATGCGCAAAAAACGGATGCATCTTTGACCTCATGATGTCCGGCTGGGTGCACCCACCATGCTATGATGAAGAGCTGTCCAATCAATTCCTGCGCGAAAACAACTTTGCATTCTTCCACGACGGTGCTGGGACGCAGCCACTTAGTGAGGCTGAGGCAAGGTTAGGATTGTATCGCACGATATACACAAATGGTACATTTCATTACCAGCACTGCACGTATCTGTGGGCAAAGCAACTGCGCGCACGGCTGAAGAAGCCGTGTGTTTTGGACTCGGATTCTCGTTCGGTGGAGCATGTTCAGCACTGTTTGCATCGTGCGGGCGCGCCAAATGCTACGCAAGTTGTGTTGCAGACAGGGACAACTTTGCATGCTGGAAGCTGGCAACTAGATTGTATAATTGGTGAGAGAGAGGTGCATACTGGGCATTAGTTGGTATGTTTGTTTTGGCTCGCTCTCATGCGTGCTTCGGCTGCATGTTTTCGTTGTTATTGTTGTCGGGCTCAGCGGGTGCAGCACCGTAGACTCCAGACTGTTGACCCAGTATGTGTATCATTGAAACATTCTGTACTATTGTTGTAGCCCACTTGCACTATGTATCAGATGTTCGCCTCGATGTTTCCTAACGTGTATCTACCTAATTGAACAATCTTAAGCGATATTCTTGGACGCACTTAGTCAACGCGATGGTTGTTATAAGTGAATTGTCAAACTTTAAGCTGCCTAAGCCTACAGAAAGATACGGCAGCGGTTGAATAGAAGGATCAGCTATTATGGTTAAGTCTCCACTCATAGTCTAATTGTGTATTAAAAGCTCCTTCCCGTATCATACGACGAAGTTCACTGCAGAACTGAAAGGCTAAACCTGGACCATCCAGTTAATTTCAATACTCCTAACAACGGTAATAACCAATCCCTCTTACACTGAAGAAGTGGCAAGGATATAGGAGACTCATCCAAATTCATGAGTGAATGCGGCTTCACCTCGGCGTGCGGCATTTTACAAAATCTGCCATTACTGGCATGTTCTACCAGGAGGTGGCTCATCCCATGCACATGACCTCAACGCACTGATCACCGCCCTCTATTCTCTCAATAAAGGGTGTGCATATATAAAGTGAATACACCTCCCGTTAGATATCTCACTCTTCAGAATCATTTTCTACCTAAACAAAGGAAATTCTCAACAACAACAAAAACGACCGCTATCATGAAGTTCCAAATTCTTTCACTACTCTCTGTACTTCTTGCCGTTGCTGCAGCTTCTCCGGCAGCCCTTCCTGGAGGTGACCCACACTGTATTGGCGAGTCTTGTTGTGGCGTGGGTGGAGAAGTTGCACCCGGCCCCCAGGCAAGTATTCTAGTTATATCTCTCTTATGTTTATTCAGTACCACTTTCATAGTCCGAACAGTGTTAATTATCATCTATAGTGTTCCAACTGTGTCTGCGTCGAAGGAGGGAATTAGCTTTCAATAGGAAGGAAAAAGAGCTGGACTTACAGTATCTACTACTTATCATACGCGCACACCAACTTCGAGTTTTTCAGAATAGGTGTAATTTTAGCGAAATATATACAAATCCATCCTAAAAAATCGATTGCAACTTGTGCTAAGTCGTGCAGCCCACGCGCTACAGAGCTA